TTTCCTTCATTTTTTTTATTATTTTTCCTCCTTTGTTTCTTTTATTGAGTGTGTGGGTTTTTTCTTCGTTCTTTATTTTATGCTAGTTGATAAGAGGGTAGGGGAGTTTTTCCTTGTCTTTTTTCCTTGCTTCTTTCTCCTTTCCCTACCTACTCTTCTTTTGTGCTATTACTGTTTTTCTCCTTTCTTTTCTTTCCTCTTTTCCCTTTTAATTTGTCTCCCTTTAGCCCTCATATTTTTATTCATCATATAATTTCTTGTTTCCCTTTTCCATTATTTATTTATTATCAATTTCTCCTGTTACACCTACCTAACTATATAAACATTCCTCTACCCCTGTTAGGATCATTAACCCCTCTTTTTTCTCTTCTTTCCCATATCACATTGTTTAAGGTCTCAAATTTTTCACCTTAGATTCCCTGCCAACTCACTATATATTTTTTTTTTTTTTTTTTTTTTTTTTTTTTTGAGACAAGGTCTCACTATGTAGTAGTTGAGACTGACCTGGAACTCGTTATGTAGCCCAGGGTGGTCTTGAACCCACAGCAATCCTTCTGCCTCAGCCTCCTGAGTGCTGGGATTACAGGCGTGAGCCACCAAGCCCAGCTAACTCCTTATATCTTTAATAGTACAACTAAAAAGCTTTATTTATCTTTAAGTACAGTGGTACCTAGGTTCATAAACTTAATTTGTTCTACAATTCTGGAAAAGAAGGCTACATTCACATTCATGTGGAAAAGATGGCCACAGTTGTGTTCGTCACCCAATATAGAGTTCGCAAAGAAAAAAAATTTTACCAAATGCTTCTGTTTGTGAGCCAAACTGTTCGCAAACAAAAGTGTTCAAGAACTGAGGTACCACTGTAGTTGACACTATAAAATCACATGCTTTTCTACTAGTAGAGGAGATTTAGCTGTCACATTTAGCTCAAGGAGCTGTGGGTGGGTCAACACTAGGATTGTCTTCATGTTTGCAGTATAATTGTGGATTTCTTCTCTAGGGTTAAGGTACATGAATAGTTCTCATGGTATGTTAATACCCAACTTGCATTGTATGGAACTACGGTAACTGATTTAATAGATACTATTGTACCTGACTTGCTTGACTTGTAAGCTGATTAGCTAGTACTACTGTAGCTGATCGGCTTGATATTGGTCACGTAATTGTTGAAGCATGAGAAGACAAGGCAACAAGAGCCAATGCAGGGATACTGAGGGGGAGAACAGCACAAGTCACACACCTACATTACTGGAAAGGATAAGGGAAGAGGTGAGAAAACAGATCAAAGAGATACTCATCGGGATGTCAGAAAACTACACAGGTAATGAAAGGAGTAACAAAAATAATACAAGAACTTTCAGAATATACTAATACAAAGCTAGAGGAACTAAACAAAATGTTACAAAATGTGAATGCCCAGTTTAGCAAACAAAGTCCAGGATAAGGTTTCAATAAGAATTTCAGGAAATGAAGAAATAACTATATATTGAAAGTATGAGTATCTGAAGAGACCAGTTTGAGTACAGAAGAGTAATAGGGATAATTAAAAAATTAGAAGACATGACAAATGGCATAAAGAACCTGTTCACAGAAATAATGGCAGAACATTTCCCAAATATAGGGGAAGAAATAAATATACAGGTAACTGAGGCATACAGAAACCCAAATAGCCACCATCAAAATAGATACTCTCCACGCTATAAAATATTCAAAGTGTCAACAATAATAATAATAATATCTCAGCTAAAAATACTTCTGTTTGTGAACAATTCAGTTAAAAAACACAAGCGTTTGGCAAAATTTTGCTTCTGTTTCTGAACTATGCATCCAGTAATGAACAAGACCAAAGTCATGTTCTCCAGAATTGCGGAACCAATTAAGTTTCTAAACTGGGGTACCAGTGTAGTCCAGCACAGGGACAAAATATTAAAAGCTGTTAAGAGAAAAGCAACAAATCACATATAAAGGTAAACCCATTAGAATTATAGCCAACTTCTCAAAACAATCCTTACAGGCCAGGAAGGCTTGAAGTGAAGTATTTCACTCAAAGGTAACTTCCAATCCTGACTCATGTACCTTGCAAAACTTTTTTTCAACATTGATAGACCTTTTAATTCCATGACAAGGAACACTTCAAGAAATTCATGACCATCAATCCAGCATTATAGAAATTCTCATGGAGGGCCGGGGATTTGGCTCAGTGGTTCCTGCGCCTGCCTCACAAGTACAAGGACCCAAGTTCTATCCCCAGTTCCAAAAAAAAAAAATAAATTCTCAAGGATATCCTAGAAAGAGACAATGAAAATCAACAATGCTGATAACTCAGAAAGAATGAATATACCTACAAGGATGAGCAGCTAAACAACAGGAAAAGAACAAGGAAATCAGAAATAGGACAAACAATGCAACGACAGGAAGAAGTCAATATCTTTTAGTAGTAACTCTCAATGTGAAGGGTCTCAATCCCCCAATAAAAAGACACAGATTGGCAGAATGGATCAAGGAACAAAACCCAATGATATGCAGTATAGAAGAAATACATTTAATTTAAAAAGAAATTCGCAGACTAAAAATTAAAGGATGAAAAACAACATTCCAAGTAACCCTATTCCAGAAACCCAGAAAAAAGCGGGAGTAGCTATTCTAATTTCAGACACAGTGTATTTCAAGCCAAAATTGATCAGAAGAGATAAAGATGGTCACTACATATTAGTTAAGGAAATAATTCAACACGAAGAGAGAACAACTATAAACATATATGCACCAAACACATATATGCAGACCCAAATGCATAAAACAAACATGACTGGCCATGAAAAACTGGGTAAACACCAACACAACTGTAATGAAGGACTTTAAAACCTTCCTGACACAAGTTAATCAACTAGACACATGGACTCTGAATACACAAACTTAACAGGTTTCCACAGTGTTCCATCCAAGAACAACAGAATACTCTTCTCAGCAGCACACGGGACTTTCTCCAAAACAGACCACATACTAGCCAATACAGAATACTTAAGTAAATGCAAAAGAATCAAAATTAACCTATGCATGTTATTAGAGCATAGTGTAATGAAACTAGAAATCGATGGAAAAAGAAACCACAGAAATTCTTTATACACAAGGAAATTAAACAATACATTCTTGAATAATCAATGGGTTTCAGAAGAAATTAAGGAAGAAATTAGACAGTTCTTAGAATCAAATGATAATGTGACTAAAACACAATGAAAGCAGTCTTAAGAGGAAAATTTATAGCTGTGAATACCCACATCAGAAAACAAAGTGCACTCAAATAAAACAACCTTTTCATTATTTCTATCTAAGATCCTAGAAAAACAAGAACAAGCCAAACCCAAAGCTAGCTCAAAGGAAACAAAGATAGAGCAGAAATAAATGAAATTGAGACTTAAAAAACAATCCAAAGAATCAATGAATTGAACAGCTGGTTCTTTGAAACACTAAACAAAACAGACAAACTCTTAGCCAATCTTACCAAAACAAGAAAATACCTAAATCTATGCAATTAGAAATGAAAAAAGGCAAAATCACAACAGATTCTGCCAGAATCTAGAAGATTATGGATAACTAGTTGGAGAACCTGCACTAAAATATAAGGAAAATTCAAAAGAAACACATAGACTTCTAGAGAGTTACCTATGAACTACCACAGCTGAATCGATATAAATATACTGAATAATACAATATTAGTCAATAAAATTACAAAATGAAAAAAAAAAACTACCAACTAAAAAAAGCGTAGGTCTTGATGAATTAACTTGCTAAATTCTACTAGAATTTTAGAAAAATTCTAATACCAATACTCTTCAATCTCTTTAACAAAACAGAAAGAGACTTGTATTCCCAAAGTCATTCCTAGAAGCAAATACTACCCTAATTCCCAAACCAGAAAACGACTCAACCAAAAGAGAGAACTACAGTCCAATCTGTTTAATAAATACATACACAAAAATCCTCAAGAAGATACTGGCAAAAAGAACGCAACAAATTTAAAAAGATCACACATTATGACCAAGTAGGTCTCAGTAAGCTTCACCTCAGGGATGCAGGGTCAACACATGCAAAACTAATAAATGTAACAAATCATATTGCTGGGGATGTGGCTCAATGGCGCTACATCTGCCTGGCAAGCACAAGGTCCTGAGTTCAATCCCCAGTCACACACACACACACACACACACACACACACCCCATATAAACAGAAGCAGGGACAAAAATCACATGATCATCTCAATACATGCAGAAAAGCACATGGCAAAATCCAACATCCATTCATTACAAAAATTTTGAAGAAAATAGATGTAGAAAGTCTTTATCTCAATCTGCTAAAAGCTGTTGATGACAAACCAAGAGCCAACATCTTATTAAATAAAGAGAAGCTGAAAGTTTACTCTGAAAATCAGGAACAAGACAAGGATGTCTATTGTCACCTTTGCTGTTCAATATAGTTCTGGAAACATTAGCCAAATAAATCAGACAAGAGAAATAAAAGGGATATTTATAGAAAAGCAGGATATTAAATTATCATTATTTGCAGATTACATGACCTTCTACACAGAAGACACCAAAAACTCCACCAGAAAACTCCTAGAATTAACATATTCACAACGGGGCTATAATTCATATGTCTTGCTGCCACTGGTAGTACTTGCATGACTATCTCATGATAGGCATGCATGTACCACTAGTGGCATAAGCTGTTTATTTATTTTTTTATTTTTTTATTTTTTTTGGTACTGGGGATTGAACTCAGGACCTTGCAACTTGCGAGACAGGCAGCAGCACCACTGAGCTAAATCCCCAGCCCTGTGCTTGATTTTTTTAACTTTTTGTTATAAAGAAAAAGACACATATACGCTTTAGCCATTATTATATTGTGGTTTATAATATATAGAAAAATTTTAAAAATTTACAGTTTAGTAATACCGTACTGTTTTGTAAGACACATATTTCATATCTAAAAACAACCAACTTACCTCATTCTTCCATAGATGATATTGTAGTGCAAACGTAGTAAAGTCTCTTTGAACACAGAAAAACTTGCATTCTGAAGCAGAGCCATAAGAAGTATTTTTGACTTGTTCAAAGTTTTTATTTATCAACTCCAGAATCAAAGGATCAATAAGGAACACCGGTACATTTTGGCTGGATGTCAGCATAATGAACTTTTTAACTGCACGCTGTATGAAAAGAAAACAATTCCCTTATACTACTAAATCAATGAAACTCATTAAATTTTTATTTATTAATTTCATAAGAATGTATAGTGTTTACCCAACAGATGTTATGCTTACCACTATACTAAAAAATTAACTAAATTGCACCTGTGGTTCCTGCACTCACAAAGTACCATTTTCTAAGGAAGATGAAAAAATATTTATAACACAAAGTGAAATATGTACAGTATGCTAAAATTACCTAAAACATAAAAATACAGAACAGTAAGCTACTAATTAACATAAAAAGAAAGAAGAAGTGGTATGTGAGATAAAAACACTTTGGGCTTACAAAGTATTCTTTTGGTATCTGCTATATATTTTCAAGCAAAGCGAGAGAATATTAAATCTGTAGCTTTTAAAAGCTGTAATGGGGGCTGGGGATTTAATTCAGTGGTTCTGCCACCTGCATCACAAGTACAAGGTTCTGAATCCCCAGAACCAAAAAATAAATAAATAAATAAAAATAAAAGCTGTAAGATAGGGCTGGGGATTTTAGCTCATTGCTGCCACTGCCTGCCTCGCAGGCGCAAGGACCCATGTTCTCAATCTCCAGTACCAAAAAAAAGAAAAAAGAAAGCTGTAATGTCCACTTTTCAAAATTAAAAATAAATTGTGTCATACTCTTCTATTGATAATTTGTTTAGTAACACTTCTAAGAAAAAATTCAGAACAAAATACATTGCCTATTCAATCATTCCCATGTATAGAGGATTTTCTAATAATACTTCAAATATTTTTAAATACAATTCTGCTGGACAGTAGAATCTTCTACAGAGAAGAGAAATTTCAAAATCAGAATAAGCTGGGTGTGGTGGCATACGCCTTTAATCCCAGCACTCGGGAGGCTGAGGCAGGAGGATCGCTGTGAGTTGGAGACCAGCCTGGGCTACATAGTGAGTTCCAGGTCAGTCTCAACTACATAGTGAGACCCTGTCTCAAAAAAACCAAAA